AACTTAAACAGTTATTGTTTGGCTTTTTTCAGTGTTTTATTTGTTTGTGAGTAAATCAGTTTGGCTGAGATTAAAGTTATAGTTTCTACACAGCTGAAAAAACGTTAAACAGAAAAACTGATTAAACAGAAGTGTGAGATGGTCGAGAATTTACGGCAGTGTCCTGTTATATTTTAGATAGCAAGGAGCAGGCGGCTGAGTTTATTAAACTCCACAGAGACAGCGGTGATGCAAATCTGAAGGCTAGACCGTCCCATTTCACAGCTGCTCACTTCCAGCCTACACGGCCTTCGGAGGACCCGACCCACGTAGACCGCAAAAGCCGGGTCCTAAGGAGGATGCAGCCTCTGAATTTGGACACAGCTTAGATGTAGCGTTTTATTGAAACGTGTAAACATACTACGAAATGTATTACATTGTATATTGTATGACTATCTTTTTAACATTCTTTTATAAGCTTTATTGGAATTTCTTTAAGCAGTCTTTGAGAATAGTTCCTAGTTCTGTGACTCGAAATAGCCATAAAACAAACATTGTTAAATAAGAAAAACAAAAAAAAAAGTTTGATATTGTTGCAGTATTACACAAACCTAATTAACATTTTCTTTCATCGAGAAAAGTTAAAAATAGCTTTCAGAGGTCTATTTAATTACGCTCTGGCTCCAAGTGCTGCTCTGAGATATACATGACGGTAATAAACAAAATCTCTGAGGGTCGCAATTAAGTTTTAAGAGCCTCATTACTACATTATCAGTGTTATTACATATTTGACATATTTATTGAAGAGGGTGTAAAAATGATTCCACTCTAATCAGGAAACCAGCTGATCTTCACAACCTGGCTCCTGGGACACACCCGCCCTTCCTCACTTTCGAAGGGGAAGTTTACTCTGATGTCAACAAAATAGAGGAATTCCTGGAGGGAAAGCTGGCTCCACCAAAGTAGGTCTCACACACAGACAAAAAGAGATTGGTAAATAGGCCAGGTAACAACCCGAAACAATGTTCTGCTGCTTTTTCAGGTACCCCAAACTTGCAGCAAAGAATCGTGAATCCAACACAGCAGGAAATGACATATTTGCCAGATTTTCAGCTTTTGTCAAAAACACAAAACCGGATAAAAATCGAGGTGAGCATGCAGCACCCAATATGTCTGTAATTGGGTTTGTCGTCTTTTAAAATCCTATGGTAATGCTTCCTGTGTGTTTTAGCTTTAGAGGCCAATCTAAACAAGGCCCTGGCTAAGCTGGACGAGTACCTGATTAGTCCGCTCCCTGATGAGGCAGATGAGGGAGAATCCACCCGCAAGTTCCTGGACGGAAATGAGCTGACACTTGCTGACTGCAACCTTCTACCAAAGCTTCATGTCGTTAAGGTAGCCTCCGCCGGAGTGGTTTCTTTATCTTCAGCTACTTTAATCATTTAACTTTGGCTTTTAGCAGTGTCGAAATAACTTGCGCTTTTACAGGTGGTTGCAAAGAAATACAGAAACTATGAGATCCCGTCAGAGTTCAAAGGTTTGTGGCGGTACCTCGGAAATGCTTACAAACAGGACGAATTCATCAACACCTGTGCAGCTGATGTGGAAATCGAGCTAGCCTATAAGGATGTCGCCAGGAGGCTGGGGAAATGAATGCATCACAAGCACCCAAGAACCTTTTTATCTTTTATTGAGAAATTTCTAATAAATCGCTTCTTTTTTTGAAAACCATTACATACACTTTTGGCACAGTGTGTGTCACTTGTAATAGTAATATAGTAAATATGTTTAACTGTAGCACACTGGTGTGATGTTTCAGAGAAGGTGCTAAAAATCATGAATAGTGTTTGTAATGGTACTGTGTAGCAGCAGATGTCTGACGCATCAAACGATGCTTGCAAACTAAAGAGGCTGAAAATAGTTTCATAATGATTACATTACAATCATTTTTCAAAAAAGATTCAATGAGCAAAAATGTATGAAGTTTGCAGCTCAGTGTTTAGTATAGTAAATCCCTGCCTTAAGCAACAACTGTCCAGTCATCGGTGATTAATGAACTGACAGCAGGTGAACTAAGTAAAATTGCCTGGGGAGTGTAGTTCACACTACATTCAAACACAATGATCAAAGCGAAAATTTACAAGTAGGAAAAAACTGTAGCATTAAAATCAAATGCCAGCAAAAAAAATTTTAAAAAGAAAGACAAACAATTTATTTAACCTTTATTTAACCAGGAAAAAAATCCCATTGAGATTAAAAACCTCTTTTTCAAGGGAGTCCTGGCCAAGAGGCGACAACACGTTAAACAAACAAAAAACATTCCGTTAAATTTAGCGCAAATAAAAAAATAAATCCCTTTTTGTTTACAGGTCATGCAAATATAACACACCCTACTATTCGTAGTCAAGTGCAAGGAAGGACTGCTTTGCTTTGTACAGATAGTTTTGTGGTGGTATTGTACCAAGCAACATTACATCATTAGCCTCTAGAAACATTATGTGTTAATAAACACTAATAATTAAATAAGTAGCAATAGCTGACACCTCGCATACTCAATTTTACTTTTACAACTTCATGTTAAACATATTAAAAACTACCGATAGGCAGATATTTTCACAGCTGGGAAACCTTTTAAATCACAAAACCGTCCCAGTATTCTTTTATGGTTTACATGGGTCAGATTCTCTGCATATATTGGTCATTCTTTTAGCCTTTCTTGGGTAAATAAACAAATAATAATAAAATAATAATAATAGAATAATAAAAAAAATAAAGAAACTGTTGTATTTGTTGGAGTTTTATTTTTGCTTTAACTTTTGCCAAGTTAGCCTTAATTTGCTAATTGGCTAACTTTTTCTTCAAGGCTCATAGACAGGGGCGCCTCCGAGAGGGGGCCACTGAGGGGGGGGGGGGGCAAGAGAAAGGAAGACCATACAATAATACAATAAGGTGAAACATTAACTTTTATTCCGGCATATATAATATTCGTCATTCGTATTTCCTGTTGTGACTCCCACCCCGCACAATATTTTTCAAGTAACCTATATTTGACAACAGCATAACAAGAC